GCACAAGCTTGTGCAGTGTCTGCTGTAGCTCATGACTGTGTCCTGAGGAGACAACCCTGTTCCTTTTAATATCTGCTGATTCTTATTCTGATAAAAGAATAAGATAACTTCATTAGTATTTAGAGAACATTGTCCCAGATCTAGAGAAGCCATAATCAATTCAGTAATGTTTATCTGAATCTTTAACCTCTCCTTTGTCTCTGTCTATCTGTGCAGGAGCAGTAATGTTCCTCTTCCTCACAAGGGTGGGTTGAGAATACTGGCTCAGGAGTGTGAGGTGCAGAGCTACTGCAGTTAGTGGATGCATGTAAATAGGTTATGATGAGAAATGTGGAAGCAAGTCCATTATTAAATTTATACAGGACTAACAGTGTAATCAAATTAGCCTTTGCACTTTCTCCTGTGCTCCACTTTCTGCATTAGAAAAATCTCCATAAATCTCTGCAAAGCCATTTCATTTGTTCCCTTTAATGCTCTCCTTTGGTGTGATGCAAAGAAACACCTCAATACTTGCTAAGTAGTGAGTGGGCTGCAAGTGGTGCCAGCTGCGTCTGCTCCTCTTGTGCTCACAAGTGTGTACTTCCATCTCTGACCTGGATTATTTTGCTGATCAGTCTAATCCACGTTGGCATGTGAAGTGATATACACTGTCCCCTTGGGGACAGGGAACATTCCTCTGCCTGCAGTGGTCTGCTAACACCTGGGATCTGGCTCCATGGGGGTCACTGTAAGGCAGCGAGAGGGAAGCAGTGACACAGCATTTGCAAAGGGGAGAGTGTGCTGCCAGGTCACGGGCTTTTGGAAGGACTCTTATCAGGACCGAGGGCTGGTGATGAAGCACTCCAAAAGAAAATGCCAGGCAGAAATGTCATGCTTTCTCCAAGCCTTTTCTGACTGAAACAAATACTCACATGTTTTTCCCATGTATTTTCACGGGTTTGGATCTAATTTCAGGCTGCAAATGAAGTGAGCAGATTTTCCTTAGCACACAGTTGCCAATAGCTCCTGTGTCTTGTGGGGGCGGCAAAAGATAAATCGGTGCTGAGACCATACAAGTGACTGGGTTGTGAACTTGCACAGGCAGTGCTTTACTTACCACTTGCTCATTTTTCTTCGTGCAAATTACGAGCTCGTCGGTGAAGATCCCCGAGTGCAGAGCGAAGATTGCGGCAGCCGAGGGGCACAGCCCGGACACACCTGCTCTGGCCCAGCGGTGGCCCAGCTGCGCTGGCTCTGTGACATTCCTGTCCCCGCTGGCTCCTGGCACTGATTTGTCTGCTGTCCACTGGGGCTCTGGCGATTGCTTTCTGCAGCCTGGAAGGGCTGCTGTGGTGTCAGTTGAACAACAGCCATTTTGTGCTCAAATTGTAGTTGCAGTCATGGTACTAATCCAAATATATCTACTATGCAAAGCTGCTTAGCTGCTCCTGGATTGCTTTTTCTTTTAATATGCATCTAGTTTTTGAACAGAAGGTAATTCTTCTGTTTCAAAGGGCTTGTGGGGAAAAACAAAAAAACCAAATTACTAAATTTCATTAGGGTATTCCTTAAAGGTGTCATCTTTGACTCTTGAAAGAAAAGGACTTTTCAAAGGAAAATGGAAATGCTTATATGTCTAACTAATTAAAAAGTTTGCTACATTAGAATGGGTCTTCTATTCTATTATTGCAATGAAGACATGGCTTTAGTGGGACTGTTTACACTTAAATTTAAAGTATGAAATTGAATCTTTTCTCGGATGAAGGCCATGTTGAATATGGAGATGTAATAAGTGTTTCACCCTTACACTTCAGTAAAGGATAATGATATAGGGAATAGATTTGGCTGGCATTTTTTGGTTGCTGAAATAATCTGAAGGATAGACTCATTTATTTTTCAAGTGTATCCTGTTGATGATAGGATAAACAGCACGCTAATGAAATGAATTGGCAATGCAGAATTAGAAGCTAGTCAGAACATAGAAATTATATGAAGGGAACTACCTACACAAGAGAGAAAATAAACTTGGAAAAAATTAGATTTTGCATATCTAAGTGGAAATAATCAGAAATGCACTAAATTCAAAGATGTCTGGTTTAATAAACAGTTTAAAATACATGTAATGGCTGACAGCAGATTGCATATGAAGTGGCAAGTTACACAGGGCAAAGCTGTCATTTCAGTTTCAGACACTACATTCAAAAGCATTTTAGAGACAGTTGTTTATTATGGCAGCAGTATGATTTCTGAGCAAAATGTTATGATGGAGATGTTGGGAAAACTGGAGGGACTTTGTAGTATAACAGCATTACTATCACTCTACAGGAATGAGTCATGAGAAAAAGATATAAAGGATGAAGTATAGATCTTAACTGAGTGATGATTAGGAGGAAATGCTGTTTGCATAGGTGAAAAGACACAAATGTAAGGGGCAGGAAAAGTTAATGAGATGCAGAAAGAAAAAATTGAAACTAAGACAAAATATAGGCTAGATATGGGGAGAAAAGGCACGGTTCTGAGATGCTTTAGGTTCCTGAATAGTTTGCAAGGTGACCAACCCCTTGTGATTCCCACAGTAAATTTGCTCAAAGCAATAGAAGACACACTCTTTGACGGGAAATAGGAAGGGATCCCATGTGATTGTCCAGCTTCTCTCTGATTACCCATCAAGGCTACCTGGGATGCTGCAGCGCTTTGCTAAAATTTCTGTCCTCTCTTTAAGAGCCTGCTGGGTGCACTGATGAGGCAAAATCTTCGCAGGGGTGGGGGGAGTTGCCTGCTGCAGATTGTTAATAAGATTGGCAAAACCAGAGGGAGAGTTTTAGAAGATTGAGCCCCCAGCAGAAAGGATTCACTATAAGGTGCATAATATTGCAATTTTATAACCAGGCATTTGATAACCAGGCAATACCCCCTTAATAAGGCAGCATTTCCTTTTTTATCAGCATTCAATGATGTCTAGTGAGATGAGGTGGGATACTCTTGCTGTGTGACAGGCAGTGTGGGGATCAAAACAAATGTTGTGGACTAGGAGCTTGCTTCCTGTAGGAAAAAAAGAGGCAGCTAGAATGAAACCTAAAGCATGGTGGCTATTCTTAAATAGCTTATGAATCATATGAAGCTCATCTCAGTGTTTCCTAGAAAATTAAGATGTCACTAACATATCATCTGAAATGCCTCTAAATTATAAGTCTGGCAGTCCAAACAGCAGTTAGTGACTGTCAAACAGCATTGAAAATCAGGAGCACACAGCAATTTGACATGAGATTCTGTTGAGAGACTTGTCTAGCTACAGCAGCCTTGCCCCTCATCCAGCAGAGGTGCCCATCCAGCTTGCTGTTTTACTTGTTCTTTGTCATCTGATCATTTTTATTGTGCTAGCAACGTGTTTTTTCTGATGTCTTTTTTTTTTCCCTGCATTGTCCCGATTTCTGGATGGCAAAGCTTAACCATTGCTTTTACGGATGGCAAATCCCTAGAAATTACTATATGACATGGTGCTACTCCCCTCCTTAATCTGATGCAGGGCTGGGGTCAGACATTCTCAGCTATGATTTATTCCAGCTGAGGATCGACTCATGTGCCATTTAGAGGGGTGGTGTGACAGCAAACCTCTTTTCAAATTTTGGACTCGAAAGGTATTCAAATAGTGAAGATCTGAGGCAGTGCTCTGAAGAGATGAATGTCACACTTTACATCTGGCTGGCAACTCTACTGTTGTACCTCATGTAAAGTAACAGTCCTTGCCTTGTCCTCCTGGTGGCAGTAAAAATGTTGAATAGCTTGAGGTAGAGAATCCTCTTGCAACAGGAGACAACACTTTTGAAAATAATATGCATGAACATATTCTATACGTTTATGGAAGTAGCAGAGGTGTATATATGGTGTAAAGACAGAGAAATATGCTGTCAGGCTAATAAGGAATAAAAGATAAGTAATGCCAGTGCAGAGGGCTGTGTATCTGAAATTCCCCAGCTGAAAACTGCTTGTCCTCTTCAAACTGCCTTTAGGGATTGTATATTTTAATTGCAACTTGCTTGGAACCCTAGTCTTGCACCTTGGAGAGAGAGGGAGCGTTTTGCAGGTGCTCAAATTTGGTTAGCCTTTTTATAATATAAATCAACAAGGATGAAACGGAGAAGGCAGCACGAGGTGAGCAGGGCTCTGGTTAACCTTGTCTGGCTGCTTATGCACCAGCAAGGCTGGGTTTGGTCTTTATTGGCTCATCTGGAAGAAGCTTTCTCAAGCGAGGAACGAATGTGAGTGAGTGAATAAACTCACTAGAGTTAATTTCTTTGGGGGATTATTGGATTATTTGTTTGGGTTTTGTTTTGGTGGTTTTTTTTGGTTTTGTTTTTTTTTTTTTTGAGAGATGGCCTGGGTGGCAACTAGGGTTCTGAGGGTAAAAACATCTCAGTGTAGAAATGTTTGAACAATACTCTTGGGCACACAGTGTAATTCTTGGGAATGGTCCTGGGCAGGGGTCGGAGTTGAATTTGATTATCCTTGCGGGTCTCTTCCGATTCAACACATTCTGTGATTCTCTAAAACTACTGTGCTGGATTCAAAGCTGTGCTCTGGTGGTGGCTTGAGGTAAAATACACCTGAAACTCATCTTTCTATCGGTTCCATTACGGAGTTCGTGGTATTTTTGCTTACCTGGCCAGGGGCGAGCCTTCCTCTCAGGCTTGCCAGCCTTGTGAGATCGCGGCTTTCCCGGCTCTGGGCTGTGGTGTGCGTGTGTAGGTTTTGGCACCGTGACCCGCGGCTGCTGCGGGCAGATCCCGTGTTCCCGGTCCCCCCGGAGCGGGCTCGAGGGGCGTCTCGCAGGGACAGCGCTGCCGCCCGCTCCCTCGCACGGCCATCGCGGGCTGCGAGAGCTGTCCCTCAGGGCGGACACCCGCGGTGCCCGCTGCTCCCCGGGCTCCGGAGTGCGGGGAGCGCCGTCCCCCGCACTCGGCGGCGGCGGGTCCGCCCCGTCGGGGGCGTCTCCGCGGCGGCGCGGGGCCACCTCCCCATCCCCGCCCCCTGCCTCCCCAGTCGCGCCGGCGGCTGGACGGGAGCGGAGGGGAGCGGGTCCATCCGCGCTGCCAGCCCGCCCCGTCCCGTCCTGAGCCGGCCCGAGGGGCAGCGCTGGCGGGGAGCCGCCGCCCCATGCGCTGAGCGGCGGCGGGATGGGGCCGCGGGGCACGTGCCTCCTGCCGCTGCTGCTGTGCGCCGCGCTCCGGAGCCTGCGGGCCAGCCCCGGCAGCGAGGGTGAGCGGACGCGGGGCGGCCGGGCCGTCGGGCAGCGCCCACCCGGGAGGGTGCCCGCCCGGCGGTGCGCGGCTTCAGACTCGGCGGAGTCGATTTTGGGACATTTTGGGGGAAGTGGAGACGGGCTGCGCCCGCGGGGAGGCGGGTGCGAGGCGGGGGTGCGGGTGGCACTGCCGCTGGGGCAGGGGGCTCCCGGCGCAGGGGGCGGCGGTGGCCGCGGGCAGGCTGGCACGGGTGGGTGTGCACGGATGCCGTGGCACGTTTGGCAGCGGGTGTTCCCTTCCCGCGGGGGATGGATGCGCACGGCCGTGCCCGCTCGCGGATTGCCCCGGCAGCCGCACAGGTGCAGCGGCGCTGGGACGGGGCAGCTCGCACGGGGCAGGGGGGCTGGCGGGGCAGGGAGGCTCCCGGCGGGGAGCCCTGCAAGCGCTGGCCGCAGTGCGCTGACTTCGTGTCTTAAAATACACGTATAAAAGGGAGATGAAGCCGCGGCGGTGGCGGTGTGTAACCCGCAGCGGAGCGCGGCCGCTGGGGACGGATTTTTTTATGCCTTTGATCTCTGTGAGGCCAATGGCCAAAAACGCGCCCAGGCTTCTTGTCTTAGCAGGATGCTTCCAGTCTTTGAAACTGGACTGGGATTTTTTTCCTCCGTGCGTGGTGTGGGCACTGCTTGGGGCTTTCTGATATTCTTGGATCCGCGGGTAGGCTATAATGTGAAAGCAATGGGTGGAGAAGTTCAGCATCTGCAGGGGATGCCAGCGGCTCGAAGCAGGCTGGCGTCGTGATGCACCGTAATTATTTGTGAAACTCCTTTAGAAGGAGGAGGAGATATGCAGGGGTTGGTAAAGGAAAACCGTACCAGAATTTCAAAGATGTGGCCTGAGGTATCCAGCTAGCTGTAATTTATTTTCGAGAGCGAGAATAATGTGAATTGCAGTTTTTCTTAAAAAAAAAAAAAAAAGTGCAGAGGAAGGGGGAAATACTGTTCCTCTGTGTACAAAATATCTAATGTTCAGGAAGTGCATTGGTTTGGGAGAGGATTGAAATGGTTCGGCTTTGCCTTGGTTAGATAACAGTGGGTCCAATCCTTCTGCCCCCATTCAATTTCAGCTGATTTCACCCATGGGAGCAATGCTGTTGTGATGGCGTGGCTGACTGAGAAGGGCTTTCCCTGTTACTCACCTTCGTTTTAGGAAGCCTGCTGTCCTGTGTGAGCCCGTCTGCCATGATACCGTGCTGAGAGACCAACAGATGCTCCGAGCCCTGTCTCAGTCATCCCTGCCAGTTCTCGGAAAAGCCGGATATTACTGACTGAGTCCACGGGACCATTTGCCGAGCACAGAGGTGCCTCTGCGTGAGCAGGCAGCTGCAGAATAGGACTTTTACATGATAGGGAACTACTGGAAAGGATTAATGAAGCTGCCTGGCAAATGGGTTTAGTGGCATCTTTACAGGGAGGTTGCAAGGGAATATTACAGTAATGACGAGCAGCGTGAGCGCCTGCTTCACGGTGTCTCTGCTGCTACTTTTCTGACTGCTGCTCTCTAATTTCCACCTCTCAGTAAATGCAAAGATAAAAAGCTGCTGCTAGGAGGGGTCTGACTGTGGACCCGAACTTTTTTCCAGTGAGTGCTGTCCTTCGCTGCGAGGAGATTTATTTGTAAACAAGCGTTATTTGACAAGTGCTTCTCGCAGCAGGTCTCCTTTGCCAATTGCCAGGGAGCAGCTCCGTGCCTGGGCATGGCTCACCCTGCAGTACCTGGAGCCTCGGGCAGCGAAGCCCTCCTGCCTGGTGGCGTGCGAGTTGACACTTGTCGCCAGTTTGGGTTTCAACTTGGCTGCTTCTGGGCTCTGACGAGGAGCTTCTCCCCTGGGGTTGGTTCTTGGGCTGGCGGGGAACTTTATTTTTGCTGAAATGGAGGTAGCCATCTTAGACCAGTGAATAATGTTTTCAAAACTTGGTGGTATTGGGTTTTCTGGGTTTATTTTTGATTTATTATCGCTCATCCTACTCAGCGTGGGTAAGCAGCTAGCCAATAACCTGTGCTGTGTAGGCATGGAGCTACATAAGTAGTTGCATAGATGATGACAAATTACCAGAATAATTTTTTTCTTTACCCCTGCATCATGTTTTTTGTTTCTCTAAATCTTACTGTAACCCACAATGATTTCATGGGTTAAAATACATACAGTTAATAATTCACAGTATGTGATGCTCTATTTTACCCTCTAGTGGAGGGAACTTAGGAGAAAATGCTTTAAAAAAATCTAAGTTATGATTCAGAGGGGGGAAAAAAGTAAATTTATTGTTTTAGTTCCTTATCATGGAAGTAGCTTTTTGCATGGGTAGCTGAGTTTCAGAAGCTCCTGCCATTTTTATGGAGAAGTATTAAGTGCCCAACCTCTATCACAAATCTAGTCACCTTCATAGATACCTCCAAAAATGGATTGAAGGATACACATAGGGAAAAATGAATCAATTTTTCTCCAGCCTTTCCTGTAATAGTGAAATAAAACAGATTTTTATTCTAATCATCTTTCCTCAGTTTGTATGTTAAAAGGAAAATATGTAGTGGAAGAAGAAGGCTCAATACTATTTCATGCTTTTTCAAGTGATGTTTAACCATTGTTTTTAACTCTTTAGCGGAGTTCATTGTTAAAACCAGATACTTGATTTTTGCTTTGAGTAATGTTAAAAATTCAGAAATTAGTCCTGATGAAAATATTCCAAAGAGTACCCTGAAAGCATTGCACAATTTTGTGAAGTGCTGGTATTCCAGAAGTGCATGATTGCTTTAAAATGCACTCCCTCTGATCACAGGGTCCGAGAGGCAGCCCTGCAATATGTGACTGGGCTTCCTGCACTGCCTTTGGTTTAAAAATGCATGTGTTTTAAATCTTTCTGTTGTAAGTACTAGGGTTTGGGAAGTGGCTTGTATAAATTATTTATGTGAAACACAATGAATGACGGATTTGGTTGAAGACTCCCCCCCTTCACCCTAAACTATATGATTTGTTATACAGCGCCTGTGGATTTGAAGAGGTTTGCAGATCACGTTTGGTCATCACTTAGATGACCTTAAAAAGTGTCATGTGGGCAAATTATTAAAATAATGGAATGTGTTATATCTGATTGCTTGTAACAAAGTAATTCCACAAGATATTTGCATAATTGTAATTAAATACAAAGTATATTTCATTTTAGGTCTTTTCAGCAGAAGTGCTGATGAGGCAGTGCTTAACAATGAAGTGTACTGTTAAGTAAATCAAAAGAAATGCAGTCTGAAAGAATAACATTGACTTAAATAAACAGAGGTGAGAAAGGCAAAATGCATCTTTGGAGTGTGTTGTATTTGTTTTAAGACTAGAAGGATATTATTATTTTTTATGAACTCCTGCTTTGGTCCTTTCCCTTTTAATTGTTTCAAGGCTTTTTGAAGCTTGCTTTATCTCAATGTATCATTTGTTATTTGAATGAATGAATAAATGAGTACAATTAAAGGGGTGGGTCTGGTGCTGGCAAAAATAAAGGAAGGTTGTAATTTGCAAATTATTCATGCCAGAGCCTGAAATGAGCCTACCTGTTCTCAGTGTGTTGATTTGTGTGTTGTTTCATAGTGGTATATAATTTCTGTGTCATAGCACACAGATAAATGCGTATTTATCTATAACATCACAATGTTTATCTTTAATTAGTGAATTAAGTCTTTTTCAGGAAGTTTTTTTTTGTGTAGTAAAAGCAGGTGGGAAAATAGTCTTAATTTTCATATCAATGTATATAAATTAGTCTAATGCTTCAGATAAAAATACACACTATGAGAACATTCTGCTTATTAGGTTGTACTTAGTGGCTTGGCTCACTATGTCATGCATTCACACAGCTACAGCATTTTGTGTAATTCTGTGGGTGTTGAGTGCTGCTGGCATGCATATGCCTTGTGTATGCCGAGCAGGTGAGTCTGGACCCATTTCAGTGTGCTCACAGTGCCTTAAGGAGGCTTTAAGGAGTTATCAGTTCTGTATGTGGTGCGTTGGAATGGTTCCCTGTGTGCTTTCCATGAGAACAGAGCATAGCCTCAGTGCCATGTGTTTATTTTACTCACTGGAGTAGTCCCATTAACTTTTAAATTTACTGCAGTGGAATTGCTGGTATGAGGAAGGACAGCTCATGTCTAATGGTCTTTTTGGGATCCGTCTGATGTGTGATTTATGGCTTTTCAAGGGGTTTAGAATGACTCAGTCATGGCTTTAAAATGGAACTACTATCCTTTTGACAGTAAAACAACATTTGAAACTCAGCACTTTTAAGTATATGACTAAAAGCATTGCTGCCTAATGACACGTTTTAAAAAGGGAAATAAACAATGGCAAAGGTTGACTCCAAGATAGTGCCTGTTTCCTTTCAAAGCTCATCTTAAAAATTGTGATAAATAGTAGAAAACAGTCAAACTGTCTCAAACAGTAACTGACTGCTTATAATGTGGTAAATTTTGATAGTATAATTTGATGTATAGAACAGCTATTTGCACATCAATATACAGAGGGGTTAACTGGCAACTATCATAGAAGGCAGGGAATTTATTTGGCTTGTGTGACAGTTTCTTCCCCCTCCACTGTTAACTCTCCCACCACTGCCTCACTTTTTAGCTCCAGTATACAGTCCAGTTCCATGTCTGCTGCTCTCTTTCTGCTAAAGAAGAAAACAAAATCTTGCCCACAGTGAAATGTTTATTTTTTGCACTAAAAAATAAAAAGCTTTTTGCAGCAGGCTTGAGGGAGGTACAGGTGCTGAGGTAAGAGCAGGAATTCATAAAATCTGGCAGAAGTTGAAAAGGTGGGACAGCTTTTGACGTGGTGCCCTGTGCTCTGTTCTTGCTGGTTTTATGCTTTATTGTTCCAAGGATTTCCATGCTGCTTCTGCAAGAATCCTGGTTTCCAGCATGTGCTGAACAAGCTCAGAGCCCTTGACCTGGGAAAATCCAGCTGATTTAGCTCAGCTT